GATCTGCGATCACTGGTCCTGTTGCCAAAGAGTGTGCTGATTTGTGGCCTCGTATTGCATCAAATCCAAACAGTATTGCTTTATTTAATATTGCAAGCTTCATTCTAAGCAAATAGAATTTCCAGATGCAAGACGTGTTTTCATTAGCTATATTACATGAAAGTATTTTTTAAATAAAAAATTATTAGTTGATAAATTAGAAAAATTTTATACTTGGAATTTTTTTTCTCGAGTATTTTAAGAATTAGTAAATTCTTGAAATTATACTTAATTAAAAATTGTTTATATTAATAAGAATTAAAGTATTCGCTAGACCTAATTATTTATTTATAAAATATTAGTCAATTTTTTAAATAATTAAATTTAACTATAAATAATAGATATTAATGAAAAAATAAAGCGCTAAAATTCAATATTTATTTGTGAAATACAAGTAAATTTTTGAAAAATATCCCTTAAAAATTTTTATAAAATATCCCTTAATAATTTTTAAATAAAAATAGTTCATGATAATAAATAAAATATTAGCTGAAATTGGATATTTATTTATAACGTCGATGGACATCCAGTCCAAATTTGAAAGAATTTGTTGATGGTGACTTTTCTTCAGAAAATGGACGATATAGTGGAATGAAATAATATCATTTTCGTAACAAGAATATGAAAGAAACATTTTCTGCATTACCGGCTATAAAATCTAAAATTGGATTTAGTGATTAAAAATAACTTATTGGAATTCAAGCTCATACCATACTATATTGGTACTTATATACAATTATCACTAATTAGTTATTCATGTACAGCCTAGTCATCAGTCGTGCTTATGCACTTATATTAGACGCACCAAGTATTTCCAGTTGATGAATAAATAATATAAATACTCAGAGCTAATACCTTATATATTAAAAGAATAGTGTGCATTTGCTCATTTAGTTTCTGGAAGAGAACGATCGTCGAACTATAGAGGTACTGTAACTTATTTACATGTTGGTAAAATTTTGTGACTCATTTTTATATTTTAAAGCTTTTATAATATTAATGTAAACAATTTTATTTTTGCAGATTTAACACGAGGATCTAAAAGTTGATTAATTATTCAAATTTATTGAGCCAATTTGTCACATCATGGAAAAATTGAAAGTAACACAAGATTATAGTGTGGTTGAAAAACAGAAATTAATTTACCAATGGAAAATAGTGGATTTTATTCCATTGATTCGCCTGTACAGCTATTCTAAAGAGTCTAATACTCTTCAATCGAATTTTCGAGATCATGTTGAAGATTCTCATGACCATAGAATTCGCTATTTGAAATTGAATTTTAATAGTAGAGAATCGGCGAATAAAGAATGGATATCAATATCTTTGAGTCCAAATATCAAATATTATGTAGATACTAAATATTCAGTTTATATTTTGGATAATCTACATAAAAAACAGTTTATTCAAATATTTGACAAAGTTCTTGTGAAAAAACCTGAAGAGTTTTGCATTCCAAAATTCGTTGAAATATCTAAATTATTAGAAATGAAAGATAAATTTATACCTAACAATCATTTAACAATTGGTGTTAAAGTTACTGGATTCATCCGCACTAATTCAAAACGAATTGAAAATCAATTAAAAACTTCAAGGAATCAATTAGTACGTGAATTAAAAGATATTTTTGAGAGTAAGGCCGGTAGCGATGTAGTTCTTCTCGTTGGTGACAAAAAAATTAAAATTCTTGCGCACAAGCTAATTTTGACAAGTCGCAGTCAAGTGTTTGCAGCCGAATTCTCACATCAACTAAAAATAAAAGGAGGAAATGAAATAACTATTCCTGATATGGATCCAGAAGTTTGTGAAAAGTTGTTGGAATATATTTATACTGAAAATATAACTGGTATTGATGAATTTGCTGAGCGTTTATATGAAGAAGCCGTTAAGCATCAACTTCTAGCTCTAAAAGAACTTTGTGAAGATTCATTGTGTAGAGGCGTGACAGTTGAAAATGCTGTTAAATATCTTGTTCTGCTGGACCGCCATCACGCTGATAAGAAATTTTTCGACAATGTTCTAAGATTCATCGCCCTTAATTCCAAAACAGTTATTAAAACTCCCGAATTTAAAGAATTAGAAAAAATAAATCCAGGGTTGTTAACAACTATAGTAACAATGATCGCCAGTGTCAAGTGAATAGCAAGGTATAGTTAAGCTTCTTCACTAATAAAATAAATGTATTTACTTAGTTATTCATGGAAAAATAACTACCTACGTTTTCTATGTTTCAGATCAACACACTTATGTACATAATTTAATACCATAGCCTTGGCATATGTATATTTCATTTATTATCAATTGTTATTATGAGAATTAGTAGTTAAAAGAAGAATTTTAATCTTCATTATCATTGTTCCATACGTACATTTTATTATATATTTCTTTATTGATTAATATTTTTGTGTACTTTCGCTTATAACATGTATTATCCACTTTATTTTGTTATTTTTAATCCGGTAGTGCAATCATAATAAATTTGTAATTAATGCTACTCAAAGCAAAAATCGAAAAACTTTTATTTGTTTTTCTCAGTAAATAAATAATTTAAAAAAAAAAATTATGTAATCACACAAATAAACTTGAAATATTCTTTTAATAGTAATATACTAGTTAAAAAAAACCTCATGAAATTTTTAGATGCTTGCTGGTTGACAATATTAATTATTAATTAATTCTTAAAGTATTTTTTTTTATCACAATATACTTGTTAAAAAATCAAAAATATATTGATACTTAATTATAATTAGAGTTTAATGTTGTACTTTATACTTCTTACTCAAAAACATCAACTGAAACAAGTTTAGAAAGCATATTAAACAAAATAAATTCACTTTATATTTTTAATTTTCTCATAAACACAAACACTAAATTATAAATCATTCATGTTTTGGTACTGTTTTTATTGAAGAAAAAAAATTTAGGACTTTTTGAGTGTTGCTTTTTATTATATTCTACAAACAAAAGTATCAATTATTATATAATAAAAATTTTACCAACATAATCTTAATTAGAATAATTCAAAAATAAAAAAAAAAGTTAGACCACATTTTTTTTAGCAACAATTCTCAATACTTTTAATTTTAATTATTAAAAGAATAATTAATGATTTCACTGGAATAAATCAATTTTGTAAGCTTGACTTTTTAAAAAATTACTCTTTTGATTTTTGACCATCTTTTTTATCGTTAATCTATAAAATAAATAATTTAAAAATACCAGAATCTTATTTTACGAAGCCATCTACTAAAATCGAACAAGTTTTAAATATTCCTTAACATGTGATAGTATATAAGATAGAATTAAACTTGAAGATATTGAATTGTAGAAAATTACTCACATTTATGAAAATATTTTTTTCTAAAAAAATTTATACAGAAGTTAATTGCACATTTTAATTTTTTGATTATTTATTTAAAATAAGATTAGAAAATTGTGGTAGGCAACTAGAAAACTATTCATAGTTCAAAAATTGGAAAATCTTACGGCTCAATATTGATGAAAATAAAACACGCTCGCGTACTGTGAAAAATGCAATACCAAGTTTTCAATTCATTTTGTTTTGTCAATAATCTAATTTTCTAATTTCATAAACTTAACATTATTTTGAATTACTTTTTTGATTTCTGACCATATTTTTTCTCAACAACATACAAAAAACTCAAGGTCAACTAAATATTATTTTATATATAATAATATATAATATATAATAGACATTAAAAATAATGATATTGAATTGTAAAAAATAATTCAAGAAACAGAAGAACTGATAAATTTATAAATATATGTTTTTCAATTTAACTTAATCAAACACAAATTTATTAACGTAAAAGACCCAGTTATTCACACTGGCCTAGTTGTTAGACACTTACAATTTTATTCTAATTAAAAAAATAAAATGTATTCAAAAAATCAATTATCTTAAAATTTATAATTAAAAAATTACATTTAATAATTTATTAGAGTTGAAATGTTTTTTTTTTTTTGATTAAAATAAAATTGCAAGTGTCAATAACTAGGCCAGTGTCAATAACTGGGTCTTTTACCTTATATTTTTTCTTGGATAATTATTAACAAATAGTATGATTGCAAGATTGTGATAAAATGCTAATTACAGTTCTATAATTATTAAAAAAGTTTTCTAATCTTATTTCTGATAATATAGTTAAATTTACTTTTTTTTTTTTTTTTTTTTATTTTATTTATTTTTATTTTATTTAAATTATCAACACAAAATAATTTTGAAAGATTAAGATATAAAATTTCTTAAAATCTAATAATTATTGAAAAAAAAATTACATACCTATTTATGAATATTATAAAAATATAAAATGGATACTTTTTTAAAGCGCTTAATAAAAAAAAAAATGCAAGAAACTATTTAGTATTATAAATGATAAAATAGAACGTCTGCAATATTGTTGTAGAATTACAACAAAGAAAATTACAACAGTTGACTGGTAATGAGTAAATATAGAATTCATCTTCTTTTTCCGGTGAATATAAAAAACCTGAAACGATAAGAAAAAAAATTAATTTTAAGATTTTTTTCTAAATTTTGAGAATTCTTTAACTTAAAGAATTTATTCTTAACTATATTTCCAGTCACAAACCAAGTAATTCTCATTCAGAAAAACATTCAATTAAATATACGTGAAAAATCAATGAAATATTAGCATTTATTTCATCTGCGAGAAGTTAAGAAGATAGTGTCCAATTAAAATCACCAAGTTTTTTAACGAATGCAAAATTAAAAAAAAAAAGTTTGGAAAATCCAAAAGTGCACGACTCATAATGCTCATTTAATTATGAAATATTAACAAAATAAAGAATGTGAAAGAAAAATATAAAAAACAGCTAAAATTACACGATAATGCCCAAGCGCCTCTAGTGGGACAAATGTAAACAATATATATAGATGTACAGTCTTCTCGTTTTTCTTTTTTATTTTATTAATTATATATAAACGACACTGAATTACTTAGCCATTCGCATTCAGTGACCTACAATTCTCTCAAAGAATTAAAAAAAAAAAACATTCAACTCAATTAATGCATTTTTTCGTAAGTTACAGTGTTTTCAAAGTTTCATACATGACGGACAGGAATAGTATATTACATACCTAGGCCAGTAAAATAAGAAAAGTCTCAGATCACATGTAATTGTTGGCCGAGGCGAAGCCGAGGTTGACAAACATGTGGTCTGAGGCTTTACTTTTTACTGGCCAAGGTGTGTATACTATTTTTCTACTCGACGTAGCCGGAATGTGGCAACTTTGTTTAGCGCAGCGGCCAGAAAGTTGCCACTTTCCGGCCGGAGGGCAGAAAAATTTTTTGACCTATTTAGATGTTTTTTTTTTCCATTTCTATTGCACTAAATCAATTTTTGAAAAGTGTCAAACTAATCTCCATTAAATTATTTTGACAACAGTATGCAAAATATCTTGATTCCGTAAACTTACAAGACTATAATAATAAAAATAGTTGCCGAAATAGGGCAAAAAAAATTTTTCGATTGTAAAGCACTCTCTGATACTTCACATCATGAGTCGTGCAATTTATGTTGTTTAGGAATCCAAAACATTATGGCGTTTAGGAAAAATAAAACATGGCTCTCATTATATTTACACTTACTGAAGGGTGACCTAACAGTCAAATTCAGATATAAGTACACAGAAAAAAAAATTTACTTGAACCGAGTAAATAATTTTGAAGAACTTCATCTTCTTGGTTTTGAGTAGAAAAATTTTTAAACTAAGAAATTTTTCTTGGTTTAAGTAAATTTTGCTTAATTCAAGAATTTTTCGTCTTGTTTCAAGACTACTTAACTCTTTAAAATTATTTTCTTAGTTCAAGAATTTTCTTCTTGATCCAAGTTAATTTTCTTTTCAGTGTAATTTTCTTTAAATAATAAAAAACAAAAAATACTACCAGGTTCTAGAATTTATAATTCATCACCATATTTAATATCTGATAAATTTTTTGGAGGTTTAAGAAATGCTTGGGTAAATATAAGTTTGTAAAAATAGATGAACTGTTAGATAAATAAGATGAGTTTGTCCACAATGATATTCTATCAGTAGATGCTGACTTGATTGTTGATGACAATCATAAAATTAAGCCATTAAGAAGTTAAAAAAGAAAAATTATGTACTTCTTCAGAAATCTTTTCAGTGCAAAGAAGAGAAGCAATGTCACTATCAGAGTTAGTGGAGAAAAGTCTGACGTCCATAAGTTTATATTGAGTGCACATAGCTGCGTGTTAGAAGCTATGTTCTCGCATATGGAGTGTAACATAGAAGATAGTGACAATACCAGACAATGCTCGTAAAATCTTCGAAGAAGTCATTGATTACATTTATTTGGGTAAAGTTCAATATTTGACTCG